GCTCACGGCACCATCATCCATGTCTTGTTGTTCTTAATGTCTTTTTCAAATGTATTCCTTTCTTCATTGCAGCTTTAAAAGAGAAGAAGATGCAGATGATAGAAGTTCTCTGAGTCGTTAATTACAGAATGCTGATCCAGTTTTGTCCCAGGAAGAACACATACCGAAACAACCAGATAAATGCATAACGTCCTTTGATTAGACTTATAGTGTGGTTTGGATAGGTGAATGGTGGCTGGGCTACATGAACAGCCTTCAACAATGGACTGGGACTGTGGGCCCCCCATAGTGCTGATTCTCAAAATCCCTCTTCAACAAGCTTTTTTTCAGTTCCTGCCATTCACACTTTCATTGTGCTGCAGTGAACCATATCACTAACCCAGCGTGCGCCTTGTGTGCAATTCTTCATTTGACAGTTGATTTTTTTATTTGTAGGTCTGTGTAGTACAACAGCTCAACGCACAGACAGTTATTGAGCTTTTTCCACATGTATTCATTCAGTCTTTCACCTGTCGTCGTCTCACATGTAAACCTCCTAAAAGCCAAACAACTGAAGAGGCTTTAGGCACTTAAACCATCCTTAACTGTGTGAGAGCTTTAAGTGTTGAACAGATAAAACACACAAAGCTTTGGACAAATCAAATGTTACCAACATGTAATTACAATATTTGGTATTGTGCAAAACATGCTCTTCTAGCAGACTAGAAAGTCCTACCAGCCTTTAGGGTTTGGATCGATTCAGAGAGACTTGTCAGGATAAGACTAATGCTGTTTTAACTTAGTTCCTGAAAAGTTGACATTGTGGATGATACCTTAGAGCAGGGGTGTCAAAGTCAAAAACACAGTGGGCCAAAATTTAAAACCTGAACAAAGCCGCGGGCCAAAGATTGAACCAAATGAACCTTTTAATATGGAACGAAACGAATTTTGCTTTAACATTGAATATGGAGACAAGCCACTCTTATTACATTATATATAACTTAATAGTGGAGACATGCAAAATCAAATTTCAAATAAAAAAACACATCAATGGCATTCTTTATGAAATAAAATTTTAAAACATTTTTCCAAAATTTGCCAAATTTGGCCCGCGGGCCAGAGTTTGACACCCCTGCCTTAGAGGTTTTCACTCATTAGAACATTTTAAAGAAGTAGGTCATCGGCATGAATATTACAGCATCTGTAAAATGAAGCAATGTTTCTTGCATTTATAATCAACCACTAGCCAATAAGTAAAGCTGATGAACAGATCTTTTAGTGCTTTAATAGTGTTTACAGTGCAAATAACATTTGACATGCAGTTTTATGCCCATACTACGGCCTTTAAATCACTTGTGTACAGCTTTCCACTGTTGCAGTGGTCTGCATTGCATTCCTCTTTGTCTATACTGTCTGAAATAAATCATATTTCTGTAACTGTTAATTCATTCCCTAATACTCTGCCTATATAAAAAACATTTTCTAATATTTCTTTAGTAAGTACCAGTCCATGTCTGGTATACGTCAGACCCCATTAACTCAAACTACTACTATTCTACAAGTGCTACAAAACCACTATAGAGACTGTATGATAACTGTAGTACACTGTGTAACACACAAACCCTAAACACAGCTAAATACTCAGAGGTTCAGGGAGAGGACAGTCTACTCTTCTTTATTTTGAATCAGTCAGAAAAGTAGAGGGCCCTTACAGGAGCAGACATGACAGCAGCCAGGAACTAGACGTAGCCACAAAGCCATCTGGACGACATGCTCGGATGTATTGTATGGCACCTGGTGTAGTATTAATGCTGTATTTATAGTATGCCTCTTAAAGATCGGGTCGTTGGAAGGACTTGGCGCTCAGTGCCTCTTGCGGGGGCAGACTTTTCATGCAGAGGCAGAAATGCTGAACAGTTGTTGCACTTCATCACAGGATCACAAACCGCTGAACACCTACTCAGGGATCTGAAAATACAATATCGCTGACAATTCAACATTATGTCGAGCAATTCTAACATTTCAGAGTTTGATCTGGGGCATATTTGACTTTGGATAAAGGAGTTTAATAACTACCTCGAATACTTTTTTGTCTTCAGTTTGTCAATCGAACACTTTTTTTGGATAGATTACTCTGAAATTCCAGTTAGAAAGGACTGTATCTTATTGATGCAAGACTGCCTCTCGACCAGCGAACATGTTTTTAGCAAAGGATGCAATTTGCTAAATGAAGGCTCACAAGTTACAAGTCGTTCCTATTTCAAGCAGCAGCTGTTTTACAGCAGTACAGAGCCTGGTGATTTAACTGTTACATGCTGTCATCCAGTCCACCCCAATAGGTCCTGTTGTATCAGGCTGTTAACTGGCAGCCAAATGAAAATAACAGGTATTAATAAACTGCATCACGTGCCAGCAGACAGAAGAAGAAAACTGCATATTAACCGCTTTTTAAGGTCGAGGAAAGAAAAGGAAAGCAAAACCAAAAATACAAAGCACCTTTTTATATAAAAGTTAAGAACGCCTCCACACACGCACAGAGACTGTCAGTGTTGGATTAGGGTTTGTGGAGATGAGCAGATGGTTTGAGAACAGTTATACATGCACAGTGTTGCTGGGGTCCTATACACATATATACATATATACAGGTCCATATTTGTGTCTACTGACAGTTCTTGTTGGTGTGAGTTCAATGTTATATTGTCCATTTAGTGGTGAAACCTCTTGAGTTGCTATAGGCTTTGTTTCTGGAGTGAGTATTTTCATATATGGTATCAACCTTGCATCAGCATCAGCACACTAACACACAGGCGCACAGTGCTTACGCCTGCACTTGGTTTTGTGTGTTTTAAAATGGAAAGAAGCAGTCCACAGTGGATTAGCCTAATGTGCGTGAATATTTCATTCACAGATGTTTTTAATTTGGATTGTTGGCAGTCCCAGAGAGTGATGCTGCCACTGAGACTTTCAGCCAAACGCTCTCCACTCATTCATCAGGACAGGAGCAGCAACCACTGTAGGTTTTACCTTGGTTTGTCCACACGGTGGTAGTTCTGAATCTAAAAGCGGTAAAGTAGTCCTTTCATGAATACACTAATGCTTTGGATCAGGCAAACGATTGTTTACTCATGCCTCTCATTAAC